ATTTAAACATAAAAACAGCATTTTAATAACAACTAAAGGTGACATAGATACTTTATTATGGTATAGTATTTAAATGTATGACTGAGAAACACATAATATTGCCCCTTTAAATGCAAAGTTTACTTTTGTTCTAAAACTTGCTTCATTTTTTTTTACCATCTATTTTAAACTTTTATTACAGGACCCAAAGTCCACACCTGCCAAAAAAAGAAGACACTCTCCTTCTCCTTCCACAGAAGGCAGAAAGAAAGGAAAGAAGGGGTAAGGTCAAACTGTTTCTTCCTGTCGAGTTACTAAGTTTGGTTTGGAGTCKAAATGCAAAGCTTCACCTGGAAATGATTCAGAACTGCTTGGTAAGAAGAACAAATCTGAAGAGCTTTCTGTTTGTGTTCACACAGGAGAAGACACGGGCAACAGAATGAAGAACCAGAGGAGGATCTGACCAAAGACATGGAGGATCCTACGCCTGTGCCTAACATGGAAGAAGTCGTACTACCCAAGAATGGTAAAACCAGATCCAAATTTAAATATATATACGAGTTGTGAGCAAATTTTCTCATAAAATTCCGTGTTTTCTTTTTCCTTTTGTGTAGTGAACCTGAAGAAAGACAGTGAGAATACTCCAGTAAAAGGAGGAATCATGGCTGATCTCGGTATGTTTTGCATTTGTGAATAATTCATGTTCAGGTCTTGTTAAGCTAACGTTTGGTTTCCTTTCAGATGATCAGGAAGACGACTTTCCAGGAAGGGTAAATGATTCAACCCTCTACAGTTTTAAACTGATTAAATGAAGATGCATCWTCAGTATTGGTTGTTAGCAGTGCCGTTAACGCCGGTTTGTTTGTGTGTTCAGGAAGATGAGGAGGGTCGAGGAGAGGGCTCCCGCCTGTCAGAGGGAGAGGACAGCATCCCAGAGCAAACTCATCACATTATAATCCCAAGTTATACATCCTGGTTCAACTACAACAGGTGAACGTTTTATTTACACTCACTGTTAGCTGTTTTCTTAATTCATAGTCTACTTTTTTAAAAAAGCGTTTCATTTTCTGTCCAGCATTCACTCAATAGAGAAACGTGCTTTGCCTGAATTCTTCAATGGGAAGAACAAGTCGAAATCTCCTGAAATGTGTGTAAATCTGCTGCTCAGACATCCCTGTACACTTATAATAAACCTTTAATGTGATTTAACCTTTTTATTTATTTATTTTTTTCTTTATTACAGCTACCTGGCGTATCGTAACTTCATGATCGACACGTACCGGCTCAATCCGCAGGAATATCTCAGCTCGACTTCGTGCCGGCGCAACCTGACAGGAGACGTCTGCGCTCTCATAAGGTAGACTTTGGTGTTGGGAGGCAGAGTCTTTCACACTGTTCTTGTGTCTGTGTTAAGAAAACACTATTTTTGTGTCCAGGGTTCATGCACTTTTGGAGCAGTGGGGTTTAATCAACTACCAAGTCGATGCAGAAAGTAGACCCCTCCCTATGGGACCGCCCCCCACGCCTCATTTCAACGTGCTGGCAGACACGCCGTCTGGGCTGGCTCCCCTGCAGCACAAACCTCTACAGGTTTGTGTTACTGTTCGTCCCACACTGCTCACATCACTGAAATCAGCTCCGGTTCATCGGCTGAACTTTGTGCTGAAACGTGCCGCAGGTGTCCGCCTCACAGCACATGTTGTACTTCCCGGAGAGAGGCAGGGAGAAGCCGTCAGACTGCCAGAACTTTGGTCTGCGCACGGACGTTTACGCCAGAAAACACCCGAAGGTCTCGCACGATTACATCACGCTGCAAAAACCACGCCGCTTTACCCACTTCTTAAAGTTACAGACTTGTTCATGTGTATTCACTATTTATCTTAAACGTGTAAAACTACTGTGATGCCTTTTTTTTCAGACTAAAGGAGCAAATGCAGGACGAGAATGGACAGAACAGGAGACACTTTTACTATTAGAGGTGAGACGATCACATCTTTCTCCCTGTCATACAACCAACAAGCAAATCCCTGTTTTTCTTTAAAAAAAAAGGACATTTATGAGATTTTTTTTATTGCTTATTTATTACGTTCTGAAGTTTGCAGCTTGTGATTGTAGCTCTGATATGATCTCCATCTCCTCTCAGGCCTTAGAGGTCTACAGAGACGACTGGAACAAAGTGTCAGAGCACGTCGGCTCCAGAACGCAGGACGAGTGTATCCTCCACTTCCTGCGCCTGCCGATAGAAGACCCTTACTTGGAGGACTCATCGGCCTCTCTGGGCCCGCTTGCGTATCAGCCCGTGCCTTTCAGCCAATCGGAAAACCCCGTGATGAGCACCGTGGCCTTCCTGGCGTCTGTGGTGGATCCACGGGTGGCATCAGCTGCAGCTAAAGCCGCGTTGGGTTAGAGGGCAGAAGTCTAGTTGAAGAACCTCCGATATGATGAATACATTATAGTGACTCTTTTTTTTTATTTATTTCAGAGGAGTTCTCCAAAGTGCAGGAGGAATCGCTGGACAAACCCTCTGAAGCGTCCAACCAGCTAGAAAAAACAGGCAAGACTGAGACACAGAAACATGTAATCATTTCAAATTCTCTCAACACTCACCGTGAAGATAATTTCTGTCTTTGACCTATAGATGCGATGGAAGCAGACAAACTGGATTCACATCAGGTATGAACTTAAAGATTTAATTAGCAGTGTTGAGGATTTATTTTATTAAACTTGAAGGTCCTGTTTCAGGTTCCTGTGAGGGTGGATGGAGTCAAAATAGAACCGGGCGTTTCGAAAATGGAAGAAGATCGAGTTAAAAGAGAAAATGCAGAAAACATGCTGGAAGAGGAAAGAGATGGTACGTGTGTGTGTGTGTGTGTGTGTGTGTGTGTGTGTGTGTGTGTGTG